GTCACAGTCCAACTCTAAATCCCAATGCGATGCGTTAAAAGACAGACACAAAGGACTTGCAATAAATGAATGTATTTGACAAACAGCACAAGTCTTACAAAATAATCACACCACCCAAATTGAAAAGCAACAGAGTTGATAAATTAACTGCAATGCTCAACACAGTAAACAATTGCCCTTTTAAAATGATGAAAACTTGACAGTTCAGTGCTGCACAACTACTGGTCCTGAAATGTGGCACCACTGAAAGGAAAATAACTAATTGTATACAGTAAAGAGTGTCCAACCAGTATAGTCTTTTATGACTTGGATGAAGTACACTAGATCCTTAAAAATCAGTCAATTCTCCCAGAGGACACCATTTTTTTGTCTCTACTTTAAATGCGGTACAAAATTCAATAAATTGAGCCAAAACTGCATAAAGAAATGAATGCCATAGTGAAAATCTAAAAGAATTCTGGCCATGTTCATTTATGATCAAAAAACTACTATGATGCTGAAAGACAAAATGCCCAAGCACAACCACCAAGTGTTTTTCATTACAAATTGCATATATTCTCAATTTTCTTACCGTCCTGAACCCCTCCATGCACAAATCGCAGAGGGTTCAGAAGCAGTGTTTCTCAAACAATACAAATGAATAATTTAAACATCAGCAGCATCATCTTAACAAATTCTGTATTAAATCTACTGGCTGTGAAATCTAAGTTTGACCATGTTTAAACACACAGTTTACACTCAACATAGAAAAATCTGATGGTCACTACAGCCTTGAACCCTCTAAGAGATTGGGATTTTGCTTGTCGTTCCATGTAAAACATACAATTACAATATTCAAGCAATACACAAGGTTATGGTTTCAGATTATACGATATACAAATCTTGCATACAGCATAACCTTTTTTGTTCTAGATGCTACATTCAAGTTCAGGTTTCTTGATAAAGAACTCCCAAACTGATGCAGATTCTGTTGTTAATTGAAGATTCAGTGACTGATGGAACGGTTTATATCAGCCCATCGCTTTGGTTATGAGAATGTTAACAGTACATTAAAACATTTAAAAGCAACTAAAATACAAATGTTACTAGAAAACTTGACAGATAAAAAGAGTAGCGTTAATATGGTCCAAATTGATGGACAAACCAGACATAAAATATACAAGTAGGATTATGTAATATATTGCAGCTGTTTCCAAAGAAAAAGAAAAACTCAGCCTTGAGGAGCTTCAGGGCTACTTTAGGAGAGGAGAGGTGAAGAAGTGCCCTTGGCGAGGGACGCTGACTGCAGCTCTGCTCCTGCTAGAGAACCTGAAAACAGGAGGAATGTTCATAATGGTTAGTTCACTTCTACTCAAAGAACAGTGGCAGAACGCGATAGGATTCAAACATACTTTGGAGTGATTGCATTGAGAGTTGCATTCTTCATGCGCTGGGAGAGAGAGCTGGAAGATGGGGTCTTGCTCATCTGCTGGTCAGGAGTCGTAAGGGGCCCAAACATACTCGCTACAGGGCCCAAAAAAAAGCAGCAGCAAATTGTAATACAAAGAAAAAAAATTACTAAATCGATCAAGATCAGGTGATGTTATGAAATGAAGTTTTTTTTTAATAATAATAAAAAAATAATAATTATATATATATATATATATAT